GGACACATCCAGACGGTGCTGTCACTTTGGAGTACAAAGCAGGACAGAGAGGCATAATTGAACCTATATGTAACCACTCAGGAAAATGTTTTATCATAAGCTACTTGGATACTGAGAATTCTTTATCCACAAGTTGATAAATTATAATCAGTCACGATCTGAAGAGATCAATTTAATGAGAATCTATTAATGTTAGTGCGTGTGTGGTCCTGTGAGTTGATTTATGGGAAGGGTGTGATGGGGTGCAAGAGTTTTACTTTATTAAAAATCGGGGTTTAGTGGGTCTCTTCTCCCTTTTGCCCTGGTATAAGAGTGCTTCTGGAAAATGAGGAACTGATTCTGATCTTGGACCATCTCTTCCTAAATGTCCATTTCGTTCAGTTTTGTGTTTTCATTGCAGTGAAATGCATCGCATATAAATGAAAAGCTGGTGTTAAGTGGAGTCTTGTGGACTAAGGAGGTATTGTCTGTCTGGCTGATGATCATGACTTTTTCAGTTATTGCATTTTTCATAGAATCAAAAAGCCCTGGTGTTCTGTTTCTGCAGAGGGAAGTCAAAGGGAGCTCCAGAGAACATTTAATATCAGTTACTTTAAAAACATTTAGTTATTTCTTGGCTAAATTTACAAAAATGTAGGGGAAAAGAACCTCCTGAAATTAACACTAAAAGGTTTAGACATTTCCTTTCTCACAGTGACCAGAACATTCTTGAAAATTCTTACATTCCACAGAATTGAAAAATCTCACAGCAGCTGAAAGCTGTGTTAATGTTAGTCCTCTAAATCTATTAGAATTAGTATCCAGACGTCGGGGAGGCTCGTTAAGACTAAAAGAAAGTAGAAAGATCTTAGTTTCTCAAAAGAGAAGAAAAGCCTTGTGGATCTTGCACTAACTCTTCAGTGGCCTCAGCAATCCTTAAAATAAGAGTGGGTGGTGGGGGATGGAGAGTCAAGAAGTCAGCATGCTGGCTTCCTGTGTGAGCCAATTTAGGGGGTCCCCCTTTTCAAAGTGGCAGGACAGCTTGTGGCCCAGCTTGAGTGTGACCAGCCACAGGCTCGCTCTGGCAGAAGCGGACTAGCAGGCAGGCGGCATCCCCTGCTCCCTGAACGAGGTCTGTTCTCAAACAATATTTGTGTGATGGTATCCATTTCAGAGTGTTTGAAAAGAATAGTAAGTCATCAGAATAAAGGCTAATTCTGAAAATTCTTTTGCCTGCCATACATATACATCTAGCATCCTAGAAACATTTGGGTGGCATTCCATCAGTTTCTGTTTGTGTGTTCTGTGTGTGAACAGACAGAAAACAAAGCCGCTATTGAGTTATATAAATGCAAAAGAGGGATGGAAGTGAATGCTGGCCTTCTGGAAATGCTATTTTTTCACTTTGGGATAACTCCAGTAACCAAGTAGAATTTTCTGATACATTTGCCAAATAAAAGAGCTGAGGTTGAGAGCTAGCATGAGATATTTAATGTACGTTTTGGAGAGCAGAGTAAGAAAAGCAAGCTCTAAATACAAATGTAAAAGTCACATCTTGACTTTTCCTATGAAATCAGTTGTCACTTCCTCACAGAAACACAAACATTTGAGTATTTACTCTACGTTTAATTCACTGGCATTACTGGTTCAGCCTGAAGAGAGTTAGAAGATCATGGGCCCCCAGATGTTGCACTGGCCCTGACCATGTGAACATGCTCGGACTGTGTCTCCTGTATTTTCATCTTTCTGTAACACCTTCTCCTCTGCACGGTAGAAAAGCAAAGCACCCACAAATGAAACTACATTTGAAGTTTCTCTGTATTACAAGCCTATGAAAGCCAAATTCTTAAGGCAGAAAGGAGTATGGTATCTTGTTACCTCAGGATCCACGCTGCTCCTTAAACCCTACCTACTTTTCTTTGTTAACTTACTTCTCCTGTTCCTCCTCCGCTCCAGCCCCCTTCGGATTATTTCAGAATAAACAGTGAGAAATTTGGGATATGTCTTAATGGAAAAGAATAAAGGGAGGGGGCGCCTGGGTGGCTCAGTTGTGGGGCGTCTGCTTCGGCTCAGGTCATGATCCCAGGGTCCTGGGATCGAGCCCCACGTCTGGTTCCCTGCTCCACAGGGAGCCTGCTTCCCCCTCTCCCTTTGCCTCTCCCCCTGCTTGTGTTCTTTCTCGCTGTCTCTGTCACTGTCTCTATCAAATAAACAAATAAAAAATCTTTTAAAAAAAAAAAGAGGTCTATTTTATGGTACCCAGATAAGTGTCTTGATCTCTCTTTTACCGAAACATGTTACCCAAAGCAGGCATGAGCTGGTGTTCCAGGAGCCCAGCAGTCCCTGACCCCACCGGGGCTGCCCCACACATACCCCTTTCCTGAGCCTCTATCCTCCTGAGAGTACCAGCTGTGTAGCTCATATTTCTCTGAGTTTGTGTAGCAATAACAAGATTGGTGATAATAACAGGAGGAACTTAGGAACTCTGCCTCTTCCTAGCCTCTCATCCCATCCCCCCAGGGCCTGGCATCGGCCACATTGGATTACCGGTACCTAGAGGAGCCATTATCAGAAGTTCTCTTGCCAGGATATGTCAGAGTGATGATATGTTCGGGATGGCTGGCTGTAATTCCATCATCCCTTTTTCTCACACTTAAGGAAGAATATTAACTTTGAATCTGTTCTGATTGCTTTTAGTATAATATTCACAAATTTTGGCACTTTGTTATTAGCGACCAACTGCTTTCCAACTGATACAGACCCACCATGGTTGAGAACCCCTGGCTTGGGCCTCTGATGTCCCTATGGGCCCTTACTCTGAACCCACCTACTCTTCTTCATTTTCTGCCCTGCTGATAGGAGTTCTCCTTCATTCAGCAGATGGATTTTAAGCAACCAGAGATGTAAAGGGAAATAAGGCTCTGTGCTGCCCCTTAAGGAGCAAATCTAGTTGAGAAGATAGACACACATAAAACTGACCATGCTCAAGGATGTGCTGTAGTGGTACAAAGAACAGGCCATGTGGGACTCCAGGAGGTTCTGATTAATCTAGGGAATCAGGGACCTGATGCTGGAATTAGGCCTCGGAGAAAAAGGATTTTATGTCAGAAAGGGGGAAGAGAGGCAGACAGGACAAGATGAGTAGAAGGATGCATACTTCTGAGTCTGAGTCTGAGAAGAAGGGCGTACTGACATGTCCAGAATGTAGGGTGCAGGGAGGCCGGCAGAGCGCAGAGAGAGAAGGAAGCGCTTGGACAGCATGGTCCAAGGCCTGCAGGAGGGGGCCGGGGATTCGGTCCTCTCTTCTGTAGGCAAAGGGAAGGCGTGCCGTGCACATCCGCAGTCTGACGGCTCGGCCAGGTGGAGACTGGAGGGGTGGGGCGCGCAGAGCCTAGACCTCAGAGGACCAGTGAGAGCACAGTTGAGCCGCTCCAGGCCAGAGATGGGGGAGGTGGGGGGACAGTCAGCAGGTTGAAGACCAGTTGTCTTCTTAGTCTTCACGTTGTGAAGACCAGCCCCCGGGGTGCCTGACACACTGTACTCATTAGGAGTTGAACTTAATGAGACCAACTGAAGTGGAAGATGAGGAAGGGGGGAGGGGGAAGGGATGGTTTCAGGGTGTTTAGCTTGAGGTAACAGATACAGGGGGGACAGGTTTGGGGGAATGGCGAAACCTGCTAGGTCTGACGCGGTTTAATCTGAGCTGTGGTTGAGGGCGTTGGGTAGAGATGTCTAGGAGACGCAGGGAGAGTCTAGGCTTGTTGCAGAGCAGAGGGATCTGGATTCTCAAGTCTTGGGCGTAGATGGATTCGGGAGTCACACGCTCAGCATCCATCCTTACTCTTGCTCTGTTAGAAAAGCTCGTTGTGATTCTGTTCTCCCTTCCGTCCCCTTCCTGCTCCTGAAACCCCATCCTGCGCTGCCACAGAAGGCGCGCAGCTGCACTGTTAGAAAATGCTGTAGTTCAGTGCATCGGGCTCTGTCCCCTGGCTTCGGAACTTTGGTTCGAGTAAAAGATCTCTTTCCCTCAAACACGTCCGACCGTGCAGACACACTGCAGGCTGTCCTAGGAAGGAGAGAAAAGCCGGCCTTCTCTAGGGGACCGCAGTCGCTTTGCCCAGAGCAGTGGACTCCTAGTCAGGAGGCCCGGCTCACTGAACCAGTGCCTTAGATTCCACTTCCTCAGCTGTCCCACGGAAATGACTTCCCTGCTACAGGAGGCGGAGGCTGGGGGCCAGCTTTCGCTTCTGAACTAAAATCTTCGTAGTAAGAGGGACGTCACACCCAGTCACAGTGACCAGCATCACTTACTGATGTCCCCGGGGTTGTCCTGTTGTCTACGCGGAGGAGGTAAAGGACAAAATCTGTGTCCCGATGACGGAGCTCTGGTTTCTGTCCCCAGAGTCTGAGGAGCACACCTCTACTATGACATTATGTAAGTTCACTAATGCCAATTAAATTCAATAACTGACATTATAGGCGTTTTTTATGGAGGTTTTTAGATGGTAGATGCTATACGATCAGTCACGTTTATAAATACTAAATAGCAAAATCTGAATATTCATTCCAGACTTTGAGTAATAAAATTGGAAAACAAAGACACATACAAAGAATGCACTCGTCTCACTGTGGGCATGCACTCTGGGAGAACCAGTGTGAAAAATTGGACTTAATTGCTATGTTAATGTCACCGGGTTCAGCTATCCTCTGCACTGCCGTACTAGGAAACTGCATAAGCATTTCAGCCCATTGAATTTTGGCAGCTTTTGGAAACATGCATGTTTTTTCCCCCCTTTTATTTTTTGATGTCCCCTATCCCCATCCCCCTCAAGGCCATTCTCCAGCTGTTCCCTTAGGGAGTCATTTTGTGGGGAAGTTTCTTTTGTAGGCTTCCAGCTGGCTTCATTTTCACTACCTCCACAAAGTGGCTTTCTTTGTCGCGTTTATATGATATTAACCATCATGCACTGCCTCGGGACTTCCCCTTGGATTGACTTCATATTTTTGGTTTGCACTCACAGGCTGTCTCCCGGTTCAGATATCTACGTGACGGTCTCATCCATGGCTCTAGCAAGGTCCCAGCAGTGTCGTAACTCCCCTAGCAACCTGTCTTCATCCAGCGAGACTGGCTCTGGTGGAGGCACTTACAGGCAAAAATCCATGCCCGAAGGGTAGGTGTGCTCCCCCACCCCCCGCCACCCCATGGTATCGTTGTCTCTCATCTGTAACTCAGACAAGCGCCTCAATCGATCTACAAAGGAGTGAAAGGGAAAATGTGGTTAATATCCCAGATAGAAAAATGTTTCAATGTCTGGTTCAAACCACGTCTCGGGAAGTTTATCCTTCTCTAGCCTCCAAGGGCTCCATGGCAGAGAAATCAGGTTACATTCGTTTCTCCAATTGTATATATGGTCTAGTTTTATAGTACAGATTTTGTTATTCCTTTGAAGCAAACTCCATAGTACTGGCTGGAGTTGGTGTTGCTGTTAAAGGAGGGGAAACAATCATCCAAGCCAAAGCTTAAAATTATTTTTCTCACACTTTCAAAGTCTCTGATTTTAGCTTGTGAGTTTTGTCGTTTTTCTTTTCTTTTCTTTTCTTTTTTTTTTTTTGAAAACACCAAACACCCAGAAGTAACTATTTGCTTCTGACAAGACTTAAAAATAAAAGGCTAAATGCACATGATTTTAGAGGCTACTAAAAAGGAAAAAACCACCACCACCACCGGAATGTCTGAAGCTGGGAAGTAATTAGCAGCAAAATATGACGTGGCACACACATGCCCCCTTTGCCCAGAGGAAAAGAACCATCAAAGACATCCTGCTGGGCCATCTCTCTGGGGAAGTTGGTAGAGAACTTGGAACCATTTGAAAATCAAATGTGAGGCATTTATAAAAACTGATATTTCTATTCTGAGTTTTCCCCATGTATATTTTTAACAAATGCACACTTGATTTGGTTACTTTCTTGAGATTTTACCGTGTTACAAAATAGTCACGCTTACTAAGAATACCTTCATAATGGGTATTTTGGTTTATCCTATAGCATTTTGTTGGTTTTTACAGCCATTAAGTGTAATTTTGTTGTTGTTGCTAAATATTTATGTTAGCAGGAAGTAGGCAATAAAACCATTGTAAAAATATGCTTCCCCCTGCATCCCAGTGTCCCCCGGAGGATTTCCCTGGTAGTATATCTAAAATGCACATATCTTCTTTTAATTACTTTAGTGACGATGAGAAAAAAATTTAACTGCTATTCATGAGTCCCTGCAAAAGGTTTTATGAGTTAAGTATTACTATCATACCATACTACAGGCCCAACTACTTATTTCTTGGTTTAATTAGTAGATTTTAAATGGCCTGGTTTGACTTCAAAAATAAGAATTCACTGCAAATTCAGTGTTAGTACAGCAATAAAACATAAACGAGCTAACAACAACAAACGCACTGTTTTCTTGTGACTGTGATACACTTGCAATGTGTACAAAAATGTAAGCTGAAACCTGAGTGTTTTGGTGAATGGCAGAAACATTACTGTGCCCATCCTGCACAGTGTTTTTAATGAGGTGGTAATTATGGAACCTGATATGTAACACCAACCCTACTGTAGGTGATACTGAGGGCTTTTCCATTGTTTGTGAGGTTACCCAGTGATTGTTGACCATACTGTATAACACCTTTTTTTTTTTTTTTTTTTTTTTACCTGGCGTGATCTTTGACCAGAAGATAATGATACAGTGTTCGGTGGACCTCAGGCAGTTTTTGCCTGTACCCGTGATGTAGGAGACCGTGCACTGTCTGATTCACATGCGTTGCCAGTGGGCCAGGTTGTATTCTAAAGTTACCCTTATCAAGAGAAAGATGTTCACATCTACTCTACAGCATACCCAGTTGACGGTGGGGCAGGACGGAACTTGGTCCACTGCAAACTCAGTAATGCTCAACTTTAAGAAGCTCGGAAGCATGGGGTAATAACCAGTAGATGAGAGCAGGACACAGTGGTTGTCCACAAGTATAATCTGCTGATTCCTTGTCCTCCCTCTGCTTTAGTGGGCCCACAGTATCTGCCTTGCCCGCTCCCTGGTGCAGGGATGCTGAGACCATATAGATCGGTTGAGAGGCGAAATTTACCAGGGTGACTAATAATGCCTGTTCCACGCAGGTGGGGGAGAAAGGCACCTGCACAAGTTTAGGATGGCAACAAGAGATATGTAGAAAGCAACACTGTTGAAAAGAACTAGAGTCTGTTCTACCGTCCTTGGAGATTTATCTTCAGGCCACATGCTTGAGGACTTGATGAGTCAGACAAGGGCCAGAGGGAGGGATGGGCTGGGTGAATGAGGAGCTTGGAGATCGTGGCCAGAAGCGTAACTGTGGGCGCACAGCCCGAAGACGAGACCAACAGAGGCAGGCAGGCCACTGTAGCTTCCTTCCACACTCTTCCGTGAGGGAGGAAGCTTGTCCCTGAGGACCACTGAGACCAAGAAAGGAAAGTTCTAGAGCAGTTTCCACTCCGGGATGAGGAAAGGTTGTGAGCCTGCTCTGCAGCTGTGGACTGGCTCCGTGAGGCAGAGTCCCGTGGTCCCAGAGCGTGCCTCATGCCGCCAGATGGTACATGCTTCTCAAGGCAGGATTGAAGGACAGCCGTGCTTTTCGTTTAAAACCAGACAGCTAGAAAAGCATTCGGCTTTAAATCCAGAGGTTTTAAAAGTTGTCTTTGGTTTCCACTGCTACCAAAAAGGAAAAGCAAGATTGAATCCATGTCTAACTTTTATCTCTGTGCCTTTTCAGAAAAGTCTTCCTTTATTGCAAATTTAGAATAAAATCCTAGGGCCAGTTGGAGGGTATTCACTGTTCTGAGCTAAACAAGGACCCTACTTAGGGAGGAGATGGCAAAGATCATTAGTGACTTGCCCCCATCACCTGTTTTTGTTGTCACTGTTAATGAAAATAAGCATCATTGCATCAAGTAATAAATACATACAAAGATGCAAACAGTTTTAGTCATTTTCTTCCAGATGTTTGGATCAGCTTACAGGAAAGGCAGAACTGAAATCCACACATGGTCTGCAGAACCACCCTTCTGTTTTTTAAAGAGCACCTTTCACTGCAATTTTCATAAATCAGGTTTTTTTATCATAATGGAGGTAACTTTGTTTAGGGAGGCTTATGACTGAATTTGTAAACAATTGTCATTGTGCAGAAGTAAATTAGGGAGATGTTAGAGTAGGAGGTTAATGTTACAGCCTTCTCTGCTTTGCAGATGCTTTTGTATAGATTTTTCTCCCCCAATCCATAAAATGGAATTGCCATTCTACAAATAAAGAAATGGAGACAAAACTCGAGTGACTTTGGGTGGGGAGCTAGAACTTGGCTCCAGGCCTTCCTCCTCCTCGTCGCCTGCTCTTTGCAGTACACCACTTGCTGGTTCTCCCCATGCATTTATCAGTCTGTAGCAAAGAAGACACCTGTCATAAGCATCGACCAGTTCAGGCTCTGATGATCTTTTATCATTATCGATTACTCATAAGCTCATTAGTAACCACGCACAAATGTCTAACGTCCACACGAGTCTTTGAATTTTACACTCTGGCCCTTTTTCCTGGTCTCACTCAGTATTTATCTGCCGATATTGCTAATCAAGGCATATGCTTTAATTAGGCATATATTATTATTCTACCCAGGGTAAAATAAAACTGGCTCATTAAGTAGCTAACTGTTCTTTCCAGAAAGAGACATTTGCCTTTATGTATGCCAGTTTACCTACTTCCAAATTACCCTTTAGAGGCAATTTAAAATTTAGACATCTTAAAGTGGTCACTCTGTAATGTAAATGATAGCAATCTTTGTCTTTCAGACCTGAGAGCACATGTTCAGGAAATATTGGCTCCAAGAATGAGTGACTTAGTGTTTTAGCAGATTACTGAGTTAAGAGAAACCCCTGACATGTTCCAGTCAGAAGATAGACATGGAACATGAGGATGGTGAAATCGTGCCTTTGGGCGTGAAAGAGAATCTGAGTGTGGCTACACGTGGGCTAGAAAATTTGGGTTTTCTTATTCTGTATTTCGTGGGTTAGCTCAAGGCTAATGTCTCCGGCCCTTGTTTACAGCGTATGTACTGAGCATACATCCCTTTCTTGAACAGAGTGATGTGTGTTGACCGTGACACACACAGTTTCGGCATCCAAGCACACATGCACAAGCATGAGCAGGCATGTGCCTTCATTAGAGTTTAGTTCATTGTCCCCAGGCCTGTCTTCTCCTTCTGGGTGAGGTCCCTGATGTCGTCTTTGCCTTTGTTTGGGGGGAATCGCCACAGGTTTGGAGTAAGCCGCAGATCGCCAGCCTCCATGGACAGGCAGAATGCCCAGGCAGATATTGGTGGCAGCGGGAAATCTACACCCAGCTGGCAGAGAAGTGAGGATAGCGTTGCTGACCAAATGGGTAAGTAACTAATTCCCACAAGTAGCAAGTTGCTTTTCTACCAGCGTGACGTTGGCCACCTCTTGATGACGTCATGAAAGCGTTCTGTGATAGAATACAGCCCTGGTTAATACATGTGAATGAGAATTAAGTCTCAGTTCGATTATGTATGCATGAGGGCCGCAAATAAGACCTGAGAGAAAAGTCAAGGAATTCTAAGTGGACCCCCCCCCCAGTTTAAAAATAGAAAGGGCATAGGAATTATTTTCATCACCGAGATTAAAATGCTACATTGCCAAACCACATGTGTCCTGAGTATCTCCCTCGGCCCTTGTTTGTCGGTTTGTTGTTGCCTACTGTAAGTACCCTGAGAGATGCAGTTGTTGTTGGGTCACATCTGTAGTATGGTTAGGACCTCTCTCCTCCCGCCTGTGCTGTACCCCTCAACCCCCACCGCTCTGCTAGTAAGCTCTCAGCTGAGGACACGTTGTAGCAGTATATAACAGCTGGATGGGAAGGATTCTCATTGGTGAGCCTTCATTTGGATTTCTGGCATAGCCCTTGATCTCTCTATATGGAACTGTTCCACAGTGACACTGTAACACTAGTTGACACCATAAAATTTTGCCATGAAATAAGACTAAGTCTCAAAGCAGTAGCCTCAGGGATTTAGTGTCAACACTGTTGATGATACATCAGGGACTTGAATCTGGACTGTGGGGTGGGGTTCCTCCCCCCACCCCCGATACTGTCTCTAGTAGCATTACCACCAGAATGGGGTAAAGAGAAGGAAACTTCAGGGCTGAAAAAGTTAACACTTTTAAGGCAAAGACCCATCTTTTTTTCTTTTTTGCCAATACATTGTTTTGCTCTGTTTTAATGACTCTTCCCCTGTAAATGTACTAATAACCATGCACATAGAAAGGAGTGGAGACGTATTTAGCTAAGCCAGGAAATGAAGAAGAAGAAAAGTAATTCTCAGGTTCGGAAGATCTGCTTTGTTCCAGTAACTTCAGTGAGATGTGCCTTGTTACTGGAGCCATCTGTCATTACCCACTCTCATGGCACCCACCCCCAACACACAAAACCTGAGCATTTTCCGATCTGCTGTTCTGCTCTTGACAGAATGTTTTTAATCCCATATGTTTTGATACTGTTGAGATGGTAACGACACATGTGAAAAGGATCCCTTCTTCAACATGACTTTAGCAGCTTTTTTTGGCTCCTAGTGCAGGCTTCGAGCAGAGCTGTGAGCAAGGTCTTTGTGCAGTGTTCAGAGCCCCACTTCCCACTCATGTGAAGTCACAAAGGTATCTTGGGACTGGAAAGGGTAATTATAAGGTTCATCCTAGACCTAAATTCATTCTTTCACATAAACCTCCCTCCACTCTTTTTTGCTTTGTATCTACTCTCATTTGGTGGCATCCCACTCTTAATAGATGAGACTCTGAAATTAATATCAATGAGTCTTTTTAACAAATCTGTTCATCCTTTTAATAAGATGTGTTTTTTTGTTTTTTTTTTTTTTAAAGTAAGATACCCTAGAACCTGCCAGAGAAGCCTTTTCACCAATGGGTGGCCTTTCTCTATCCAAAATCGAAGGCTTCATAGAAAATGTTAAAATAATTTTTTTCTAACTTTTTATATTCCACCATTCCAGAGGAATAACCTTGCTTTCTCTAACTGGCACATCAGATGGAATCTGGGGCTTGGTTGGTATAAGCCATGCTAGGGAGAAATCCAGAAAAATAATTGTTCCGTTCTCATTACTCAGCGTACTGTACATTGAGTGTATCAAGGGCTGACCTTTACACATTCAATTTTTAAAACAATTCTCTAATGACTTTCAGGTCACTGAGTGAAAATGCTGAGGCGGTTTTTATCTGTTAGCCAGACCCACCTGTCTCTGTGCACTGTGTGTGACACACTGGTGCCCTGGTGGAAACAAGGAGTTGAGCTTCATTGGCTCGCCCATCTCGGCGGATTTCGTTTTTCTGCCTCTGCTTTTGGAGGTGGTTGAGAGTCCGAGTAGAGGACGTTTCCTAGTCCTTTACGTTCAGGAATGGTGTTGCAGAAGTCCAGAACTGTTGCTGTAGGCTATCGGTGTGTTACAGAAACTAAATCGCTTACCTTTTACCTTTGGAACCCCACCTTGAACGCCGGCTTGGAGTCCAAAAGGAAGCAATTGTCTTAAGTAAACTAGTTGCTGTGTGTCTTTTCTGTTGTGCTTAGCTTACAGTTATAGAGGACCTCAGGATTTCAATTCTTTTGTCCTCGAGCAGCATGAATATACAGGTAAAATATTTCCAAAGTGTCCTGGTAAGTAACACGTGATTGCATCCGTGCCTGTCTAGGTAATGTAGACCGAGCTAGGTTAGCCACACTTGGCAATGAATGAATTTCATAAATTGAATCCATATATTCTCAACTTTCCCCCAAAACCAAAAGTTGATTCCTAACTTTGCCGCGTTGTTCATGGCATTTGGTTTGGTGGTACTTGGCTCTGCTACTGTGTATGACGTGACACACTGTCACCAGCTGCAAGCTTTACCCATCAGCCACTTAGTTTCTGACATGCTGTCTATTGTGTAAACTCTCAACAAGCTTATCGCTGAGATTCAGAGTTTGCTGGTCAGTGACCTGAGAGATGCAATGGCAAGCCGTCTTCATTTGTCAACACGTGCTTGGACCCGTTTAGTGCCTGCCCCATAATGTCCTGTGCTGTATTCCAGAGCCAACGTGCCACCTCCCAGCAGTATCAAAGGTACTGCCTGCTTTTCGAGAGAGCCCCAGCGGGAGATTAATGCGGCAGGATCCGGTGGTCCATTTATCTCCAAACAAACAAGGGCATGTAAGTTAACTGTAAAATAATAAAAATGATCAGATTCCTAGCAACGTACCTTCCAGGAGTGCTTTGCTGTTTCTTCCACGTGGTCAAAGAAGAGGTCATCCTGGCGGGAGGTGGGCATTCACTGCTCTGGCCCTGGAATTTCTATCGCCAGTGGCCCTAAGTTTGCTCTGAAATAAACTCAAATTCCTCCTTGGTATGCATCTGCCACCCCCACAGATCTGGATGGAAGGCCATGTGATGTAGTCCTAAAATGTGGGGAACAGAAATGTGCTAAATGTGAATTTTATTTGCTTACACAATGGCAAGCATAGGCTGTGGTTGGAGCATCAGTCCAGGGGACAGACAGCTTCCTGACAACTGCCCTTCCTGCTTTGTCTTGCGTAGCTACACACATTTTTGTTTTACCATACTTCTATATAATTCCTGATCGCTTATGGGTGGAATTAAGAATCAGAGGTTTTGCTCATGTAAGTTGTGCTCTAGTAAAATGAATATGAAGCTAAAGAAACAGAGCGCACGCCCATGCGTGGGCAAGCACCCTGCACTAGGCTGTGTGGTGAGAGATTTGCTGAAGAAATGTGATGTTGTCATAGTTCTACTTGGAAGTGATAAGTTACCCAGTCTGTCAATTTCCCTTCCTTCATTAACACCTTTATATTGATGACACAGTAAAATAATATTTTCAATAGATTGGGTTAGATTAAGTATATTCTTAAAATTAGTATCACCTGTTTCTTTTTACTTTTTTAAACGTTGCTACTGTAAAGTTTAAAATTACAAATCTGATTCCTGTTGCATTCCTATAGAAATCTGTTATGTATTTTACACTCTCAGCACATCTCAGTTTGGACTAGCTGCGTTCAAAGCACTCAGTAGCCACACATGGCGAGGGGCCACCAAATCCCACAGCACAGATCCAGAGCTAAGGAAGTTCTGCCTGCAAACATTAAAAATAAATGAAGGCCTTGTAACGTAAATGGTGTTGTTGCAAACAGTGGCACCAGTAAAGTAATGGGTTGATTGGTTCTTGTTTAAGAAGAAATCTTTCGCTTTGAAGTGAAATTCTTTTGTCCTCCTCCTGCTCCCTTCCCTACCTTAGCGGGTGAGGAGCGTGTCTCTTCCCCGAGCAGCACGCGCGCACGTGCACGCACACCCGCGCACGTGTAGTTCCTTCTGTTTTCACTCAATCTCCACCAGGTATCTGGACTTCCTGTCTCGCATCTAATGTAAAATATTATTCAGATAGCTTTTGAAATCTTACTTCTTTGGTAAACTATAGAATGTTCTAAGCAACCAAGCAAGCCACTGTGTGGAGAGGGTCCCGTACACATTCTAATTGAGATAATTCACATATCATAATATTCACCCCTTTGAAGAATACAGCCCAATGGGCGTTAGTAGATACACAGAGTTGTGCACCCATCACCACAGTCTAACTGCAGAATGCTGTTACCACCCCCAAACAGAAATCCTGTACGCTCAGACAGCCCTTGACCACCACTCATCCACCTTCTGCCTCAGTGGATGTGCCTGTTCTGGACGTGTCATGTGAATGGAATCATACAGTATGTGGCCTTTGGGTCTGGCTTCTTTCACTCAGCATAACATTTTTAAGGCACATCTGTGTTATACCGTGTATTAGTACTTCATTTCTTTCTGTGGTGGAATAATATTCCATTGAATGGATATACCACATTTTTTAATCCATTCATCAGGTGATGGACATTTGGGTTGTTTCTACATTTTGGCTGTTATGAATAATGCTACCGTAAATATTCGTTTAGGTTTTTCATGAACATGTTTTCCTCTCTCTTGAGTAGATACTAAGAATGGAATTGTAATTGTTTTCCCCCTGCAGTTGTCCCAATTTACATTCCCACCAACAGTGCCAACCATCATTACTGTCTGCCTTTTTGCTTAGAACCATCCAAGTGCGTGAAGTGTTATCTCATTGTGGTGGTGTTTTGCACTTCTCTAGGGACTGAAGATATTGACCATCTTTTTATGTGTTTGTTGGCCATTTGATACCGTCTTTGGAGAAATGTCGATTCAAATCCTTTGCCCATTTTTTAATTGGGTTTCTTGAAGCACAAAAGTTTTTAGTTTTGATGAAATCCAGTTTGTTTTTCTCTCTTTTGTGCTTTTAGTGTCATATCCAAGAAACCATTGTATAAATAGGTCATGAAGATGTATATTTACATTTTCTTCTAAGAGTCTGATAGTTTTAGCTCAGGCATTTAGGCCTTTGATCTTTCTGGGTTTATTTTCCTGTATGGTTAAGGATGCAGCTTCATTCTTTTCTTTTGCATGCAGGTATCTGGTTGTCCCAGCACCATAGTTTCCCCCCATTGAATTGACTTGGCACCTCTGCGTAAATTTTACCTCTAAGCACTCCTTAGAAAGCTGTCTTCTAAAGAGATGCCAGTTGGGGAAGGAAAGGGAGATCTCTTTAGGAATAAGTCTTATATTCTGCTGTATATTGACTCCGAGTGCTAGGACTTTTAGAATTCACACTTTTTGATTAGGGTAATCTCAATACTATTGATATTTTAGCCTCAGTGAATGAAAAATGGATTCTAAAAAAAAACCCTGTCTCTAGCACTCTTTGCCACTAACACTCTGAATGGGTTTTCCAGGCCCCTCCTGTCTTGGTTATCGTTGGACTTCCGTGCCGTGAGCACCCCATAACCAGGCACACGCCAGGGCATCCTTCTCCCTGGCGCTCCTGGCGCTTAAGTCAGTCGTGCTTCCCTTGCAGTCCGATAGCCACTACTCGAGCCACTCCAGCAGCAATACCCTCTCCAGCAATGCGTCGAGCGCCCACAGTGACGAGAAGTGGTATGACGGGGACCGCACCGAATCCGAACTCAACAGCTACAACTATCTGCAAGGCACCTCTGCCGACAGTGGCATCGACACCACCTCCTACGGCCCCAGCCACGGCAGCACGGCCTCCCTGGGGGCTGCCACGTCATCACCTCGCTCAGGGCCAGGCAAGGAGAAAGTGGCACCCCTGTGGCACAGCTCCAGCGAAGTACTCTCCATGGCAGATAGGACTTTAGAGACCGAGAGCCTCGGCATGGACCGGAAGGCAGAATCCTCCCTGAGCTTGGATATCCACAGCAAGAGCCAGGCCGGCTCAAACCCCCTGACCAGGGAGAACAGCACTTTCAGTATAAATGATGCTGCTTCCCACACAAGGTAACTGCTGCCCCCCCCCCCCCACCTCCGCCGTGCCCAGCCCGGTCCTGAATCAGGTTGCCAGCCACATCCCACTTTCCTGCACTCACCATTATACAAAGAAGGGGGTTTCCATGCAGTGACTGCTCTTTTTAAGTATGCCTTGTATCTGCCGCCAAAATACTTGATTCCTACAACCCTAACACATTATTTTAAACTGCAGGTAGAAAATAGAAAAGTTCACAGATTTAGCCTTCATGAAATTGTGTTTGATTATTTTATAAAAACTTTCTTCTGTGCCAGAATCAGAGAAGAATCTTAGAATTCTGGCTTTCAGGTAGCGAGAGAGAATGAAACAGCCTTTGAAGGCACTGAAAGAAAACCTTGAGCATTTTTCTTTTTTTTTTTTTAAAGAAAGGGGTCTTTTCTAAGACTAATGTGGCATTATTTATGATGCCAGACACATCCTCCACACTGCCTCCCTGTCAGAGAACATCACTTAGCCAGTGTTTGCATGGTAACTCTTTTTCAGGAATTGCCTCCTGATAGTGATGTGTTGATTTGGAGAGGGGGGTGTCCAGTGGAAAAGTGTAGCTAAAATTAGACATCCCATCTACCTTTCCGAATAGGAAAGAACACATTCTCCTGTATCCTTGGAGATCTCTCTGATAGGCAAAATAAATACCATTTTTCATTTCCTCTTTTGGATTTGAGCCAAAAATCCAAATTATGACAGGATTCTTCCTTTTTTCTTTTTTTTAAAGATTTTATTTATTTATTTGACAGAGAGAGACACAGCGAGAGAGGGAACACAAGCAGGGGGAGTGGGAGAGGAGAAGCAGGCTTCCCGCTGAGCAGGGAGCCTGACGCAGGGCTCGATCCCAGGACTCTGGGATCATGACCTGAGCCGAAGGCAGACGCTTAACGACTGAGCCACCCAGGCGCCCCAGGATTCTTCCTTTTTAAGGAGGAAATATTCCACCACTACCTTTTTGGGCCCACTGATGCCTGTGGTGGTTTCTCCTTTTACTTGTTATTGTTGTCAGTCATTGATGAGTTTGCATGACAGCCCCTAACCTTGCTATCTTCTGGGCTTCCTTTTATTATGCCCTAAAGAAAAGTAGCAGAAAAACTGAATTTAGTTTTACTTTTCTGATGGGAATCTAGGCACATAATCTGTCGGTAAACCCCGGATAGTCTAAATGACAGAGGATGTCCTCTGTGTAATTTGGGTTTGTTTAACTTGATTGGTTAAATACTCAGTTCTCTCATCGTGCCTATATTGTTACTGATGAGATTCTTGAGCTGCCCATCTGAAAACACCAGGTCGACGTTTGAAGCATTTCACAAGTTTTATTTCTGTTTACCACTACCACATTGCCTGTCTAGAAACCAAATGACCCTCAAGCAAAAAGGCGATTGGGAAAGTCATCTTGGTATTCTTGAGTACCGGGCATCCGATTACCTTTCCACAATTCAGAAAATAGAATGTATGATTCAGATAGGTTAAGGACGTTTTGGGGAAAGTAGAACAGAAAGCTGAGCATCAAATATCATAATGTTGTAATGTAGACCAAGAGTCACAAGACAATTATGCCAGTCACTTGCTGTTTGGGACATGCCCCACCATCTCATCAGCTAATCCTGTGCCCTGACTCAGACTGTTTTTCATTTCTGAATAGTTTCTGTGTGGTTTCTAGGCTTAGCTCGACTCCTATCTTTTTGGTGTTGAGTTATTTTGAAAGGAGGCTATCTTTTTAAGAATGATATTCCAGGGGCACCTGGGTGGCTCAGTCGGTTAAGCGTCTGCCTTTGGCTCACGTCCTGATCTCAGTCCTGGGACTGAGTCCCGCATCAGGCTCCCTGCTCAGTGGGGAGTCTGCTTCTTCCTCCTCCTTTGCCTCATCCTGGCTTGTGTGCACATGCACGCTCTCGCTCGCTCGCTCACTCTCTCAAATAAAATTTTTAAAAAATGATACTCCATTTGGAGATATGTATGTCTGGTCTAATTTGATGATAGAAGAAAGTCAAGTTATGGAGGTCTTGTCTGGAGTAGCATCCCCATGGAGTAAGGTTGAAAAGAGCTGGGCCTCTGAAACCAAAGCACAAGCTGTTAGCTGTGTCATCTAACAAATCCCAGGGCTACAAAGTTCCCCCCGTGCAAAGTAGGCGCCTGGGCTTGCATTATCTGAATGTGCTGACTGGGGCCGCCTAAAGGCCTCAAAGGATTATCTGAATTTTCTGCTTCAAACTGACCATGCAGAAATCATTTAAATCATCATTTGGAAATAACTCTTCTGTTGAAAGTCAAACTTTGTAGAGAAGAGAAGAATGTGGCCTTTCAAGGAGGGTGGCAGGGCTTCCCACCCGTTGGTAGGTTGAGTCACATTCATTTCTAGACTCTGGTAAGCACGGATGCTTTGTGACTTCAGTCTGTTGATCTTGGCAGAGTGAGTTGGATAATCAGAGCTTTAGCAGACTTCCTTCTCTAGAGGAAAGAGGGACTTAGCCACCAAATGCACAGTACTGGAGAAACTAAAATCACTGCAAATTAGAGTGTTTGTGTCCTCAGAAGACAGGAATAGCAATTAATGTGGAGATCTCTTGACAGTGCATAGAAAAGCTCGTACCTGGGACTTGGTGACAAAATCTAAATTACAGTGATTAAGTTCCACCGCGTATTTCTGGCTGGGCTGTGTTCCTACCCCTCTATCCTCCAGTCTCCCTGTTGATGATTGTACAGGTGTTTTGTGGCACCCCAGGAAAACTGCACTGATGTAAGTTGGTAATTACACAAGGTTGTTCTATTCACATATCATTAAGAGAAGCCATATACACTGATAACTTCCTACAATTAAAAAGTCTATTAATGGCTCTGAAGTGTTGCTCCCTAGAATATATATGTATTTTCTATGAAGTTTGGAAATTTAGGGAGAGATTTTTATTTATTTTTTTTGCAGTGGCTGTTTCACTTTCAGGTCTTAAACCAACCCCCCCCCCAAAAAAAAAAGGTTTATGGTGACCCCAGGAGAGATGAAGACCATTCCAGTTTTAAAACACTCTTACCAGGGGCTCCAGGAGTGGCTCAGTCAGTTAAGTGCCAGGCTATAGATCTCAGCCTCGGTCTTGATCACAGAGTCATGGGTGCAAGCCCCACGTTGGGCTCCGTGCTGGGCATGGAGCCTGCTTTAAAAAAAATAAATAAAAAAAAACTTACCAGCTGGGCTCTTCTTAGAGTTCTGGCCTGGGCAGTAGGCAATGCTGGTTTGTGTGGTGACCAAAGACCCCCTTAGTTAGCATACAGTGCTCTCGTCCCGCGTAACCAGTGGTATTGCTGACCTCAGAACTAGATTCAGGAGCACATGTTATGAAGCTGAAAACCCCACTCATAGTTGCAAATACACATTTCTTCTGTAATGTCCTGACCTGATCTGTTCGGGGGTCCAGGCTTCCACAACCACCCTCATTTGCCAGCCATTCTGCTGCTTCCTCCTGATGCCTGTAGGCCCCCTCAGAGCTCTGCAGCCAAGGCATTCCCACCCATGTGATGATGTACTTTTTCCCTGACATCTTGTACTAGAGGATTTCTCACCCACTGTTCATCCTGAGCACTAGTGGGTAGGTGCTCAGGACATCGTGGTCATCAAGTAGGAATAACTTGCTCCTTAAAGTTCCCACTTTTTGCCTGATGACTCCTCGGGGCTCCCACCAATAATCCAATTCAAAAGTAACATAAATCCTCTGCTCCCAGCTACTACTGTATTTCAAAGCTTATTGTGTAGAAGGGTCCATGTTTGCACAGAGCTCTAGTGCTTTTATGAATAGGTATATGTATAAGAGTATACAGAAGTCCCGTACAGCATGAACGTTTAATAAAGTCATCTCTAAGATTTGTTTCATCTGCAAAATACAACCGGGGAGGACTTTTTAATAGCTTACATGCAAGTATCAGTCAATATCTGGCTGTAAGTTGGTCAGTGTCTGACATTCATTGAAAGGGCTGATTTAAGTCCAGGAAAGATGCCTGCCCATGGTCATCAGTACAGTTCAATTTCATGAATGTGCTTTTTCTGGTTGACTTACTATAAGTTCACTGTTCATGCCAGAAAAGCTGTATGTTTCTTGAGAGTAGAGGTGAAGAAGGACTTCTTAGATGGAGTTTACATCGAGCATCAAGACGTGCCCTGGGCTACGGAGCGCACTGGACTGTCTTTGTGCCACTCTGTGTGCATTAGAGCTGGTGTGTTTACATTTCGCTCTTTGCCCTCTTCGGCATCCTGTGTATGTGAGAAATATGCCGCCTTTGTTTAGAAATTATTCTGCTGTCTTTATCTGTAATGTTTCTCTCTCAAATATCTCCTGCCTGGAATTTTTTTTTTAATTGCTAACAATTAATTAATTGCCCCTTATCTACACTTTTTTCTTAAGGTGAGAATATTATTTTTTCTAAGTTGTATAGGCTAATTCAGAATTTGAACATGCAGCCTCTGAAATGATAAACCCAGAACTTCTCTCCAACATATTGTTGGCTCTGCTTGTCTTAAGTTTGTGGGTCATTTTCATTGGTCATTTCTTCTTTGTGGTCTGACCCACAGTGGACATTCAGGATTATATTGTATTTTGCTTTTATATAGCAGAACTCCAGGTGATCTGTGCTAAGCTAATTTCTTTCAGTTTATGGGAGTAGGTGATTATTTTATCCAGAGTATGGCGCTGTTTGGCTAACCTCAAAGACTGAGAAACAAACCACTGTGGTTGAAATTTCAAGTGAATGCTGAGCAAATGAGGCCTCTGTCAAGCCACAGATGTCAGAGAGCTTGATGTGGCCCTCGCTGCCACAGCGGTTACCACTGCTCTCCCCTGTGACGCAGCTAACTCATTCATCCAGTCAGCAGGGAGAGCGCACGTTCTCCAAATGCCGGTAAGTCATAAGGCCAAAAGGAATTCTCAGGAACGGAGTCCATCCCTTGTCCTATTGAAAAGGACCTGCCAAGGGCCTACCAGGAGGGGAACTTGTCCAG